CACTCACCTCAGCCTCCCAAAGGCGCGGAATTACAGGCTGAGCCACCGAGCCCGGCAAGACGTTTTTTTTTTAAGTCGGAGTCTCACTCTGTTACTCAGGCTGGAGTGCAGTGGCATGCTCACAGTCACCACAGCCTCCACCTGCTGGGCTCAGGTGAACCTTCCGCCTCAGCCTTCCAAGTAACTGGAACCACAGGCATGCACCACCACAACCAGCTAATTTTTTTACTTATTTATTGTAGAGACAAGTTCTCACCAAGTTGACCAGGCTGGTCTTGGACCCCCAGGCTGGGCAATCCTCTTATTTCGGCCTCCCAAAGTGTTGGGATTATAGGCTGTGCCACTGCACCCGGCCTGCTCATGTATTTTTTTTTTTTAGTCGGAGTCTCACCTCGTCGCCCAGGCTGGAGTGCAGTGGCACACTCACAGCCACCCCCCAGCATCGACCTGCTAGGCTCAGGCGATCCTTCCATCTCTGCCTTTCAAGTCGCTAGAACTATAGGTGCATGCTACCACGCATGGCTAATTTTTGATTTATCGTAGAGATGAGATCTTGCCAAGTTGCCTGGGCTGGTCTCGAACCTGCAGGCTCAGGCAATCCACTTGCCTTGGTCTCCCAAAGTGCTGGGATTACAGGCTGAGCCACCGAGTCAGGGCTCATTTATGGTTTTAATTAGCCTTTCCCTGTTAAGCAGTGAAATTGTGCTTCTTTTTATATTTTCATTGGTTGTTTACATGTGAAACATCTATGTATGTCTTTTATCTGTTTTTCTCATGGATTGCTTGCCATTTCTAACTCATTTGTAGAAGTTATTTACATTTTCTGGATTCTACTCCTTTGCCCGTTATATCAAATCATCTCCTAGTTTGAAGCTTGTATTTTCATTTTCTCTATAATATCTTTTGATGAACAGAAATTGTTTAATTTAACACAATTAAACTTATCAGTCTTTTCCTTTATATTATTTCTTATTTTGTTCTTTAAATGGTACACCTTAAATTTTGGAACTATAGTATTTTAAATCTCCTGGTAAACACATAATTTATATTTTTGTTGTTGTTGTTGTTGAGTTGGAGTCTCGCTCTGTCACCCAGACTGGAGTGCAGTGGCCACTTCTGGTCACCGCAGCCTCGACCTGCTGGGCTCCGGCGATCCTTCCGCCTCAGCCCTGCAAGGAGCTGGAACTACAGGCGCGTGCTACCACGCCCGGCTGATTTTTTTATTTATTGTAGAGATGAGGTCTCGCCAAGTTGCCCAGACGGGTCTCGAACCTGTGGGCTCAGGCAATCCACTCACCTCAGCCTCCCAAAGGCACGGGATTACAAGCTGAGCCACTGAGCCCGGCTGCACATACTTTTATTACAACTGAAATAGTAGAGTGATTTGGAATGCCACATTTATCATAAGCAAAATGCTTATACATGCTTGGGTCTGCTTCTGTTCCACTGATTTATCTCTTTATTCTGGAATTAGTACCATTTTGATTGATTATTGTAACTTTAAAATACATTTTAATATTTGATATAGGGCTTATATATTTTCCTAGATATAAATTTTCAAGACAATATTACTGGGATATAGTTTATGGATAATAAACTACATATACTTAAAATGAACAATTTGATGAATTTTGTTAGATGTGTACACACATGAAACCACCACCACAATCAACATACCTAACATTTCTATCACCCTCCAGAATTTCATTATGTCCTTTTACAATTCCTCTTTCTCTCCATTTTTCTTCCCCAACTACTGATTTGCTTTCTATCACCATCAATTAGGTTGCATTTTCCAGAATCTTATATAAATGGAATTGTACAGTATGTACCTTTTATGTTTGGCTTCTTCCATTCAGCATAATGGTTTAGAGATTTATTCATGATTTTGCACATATCAGTAATTTGTTTCTTTTTTTGCTGAGGTATTTCATTGTATGAATATATCACAATTTTTAATCCATTTTCCTGTTGATGGACATTTGGATTGTTTTCTGTTTTTAACTATTACAAATAAGATTGTCATGAACATTCATGTACAAATCTTTGTGTGGACATATATTTTCATTTCCTTGGGAAAATGTCTAAGAATGGAATGACTGAGTAATGGGTAGGTGTATGTTTAATTTTTTTTTTTTTTTTTAAGTCAGAGTTTTACTCTGTTGATCAGGCTGGAGTGCAGTGACAGGATCACAGCTCAACGCAGCCCCAACCTCCTGGGCTCAGGCGATCTTTCTGTCTCCCAAGTAGCAGGGACTACAAGTGTGCACCACCATGCCAAGCTCATTTAAAAAATTTTTTTTTTTTGGAGATGAGGTCTCGCTATGTTGCCCAAGCTGGTCTCAAACTCCTGGCCTCAAGTGGTCCTCCCATCTCTATTCCCACATCATTAAGTAGGTAATAGACTTAAATAATTTCACTTTGTGAATCAATTTTTTTTTTTTGAGTCAGGGTCTCAATCGGTGTCCAGGTTAGGATGCCAGTGGCACGATCATGGCTCACCACAGCTCAAGTGGTCCTCCTGCCTCATCCTCCTGAGTAGCTGAGACTAGGCATGCACCACCATGCCTGGCTAATTTTTATATTTTGATTTTTTGTAGAGACAAGGTTTTGCTATGTTGTCCAGGCTGGTCTCGAACTCCTGTGCTCAAGCGATCCTCTGGCCTCAGCCTCTCAAAGTGCTGGGATTGCAGGCATGAGCCACTGCACTTGGCCCAATGTTTTTACTGTAGTGGAAAAACCCACATAACAAGAAATCTAACCTCTTACCAAATATTTGTGTACATTATAGTATTTTCAACTATATGCACATTGTTATATGGCATATCTCTAGAATTTTTTTCTGTGAATCAACTTAAATATGTATATTGAAATAAATAGAAGCATAATATTATATACAATTACCTTGGATTTTCTGGATTTTAATTCTGACTTCTCTACTTATGAGATCTTAGACAAATTACTTAATTTCTCTGACCTCAGACTCCTCATCTGTTTGATGAGGATAATAATATCTACTTTGCAAGGTTATTGTTGGGATGAAATGATGGAAAAGGCTAGATCATTGTCTGGTACACAGTAAGCATCAATAAAACTTGCCTATTATTATGTTTATTATGTTTTGCCTTCTTTCACAGGAAGAATGAAAATTGTAAAGCAGGTACCTTTTATTCAAATTCTGTCTTCAATATTTTGATTAAAGAAAGGTGTTCTATTTATAATTATAGTCATTTAATTATATATGGATTTATTTAGTGTAATTTAATATTCAAAACCTCCTTCCCTTTTTGTTTTTGATTGTTTCTGTATTACCAAGGCAAAGAAACAGAAAAGAGCTGTTTTTTTTAATTAGAGTCTCACTGTGTCACCCAGGCTGGAGTACACCGGCAACCATAGCCTGGACCTGCTGGGCTCAGGTGATTCTTCTGCCTCAGCATTCCAAGTAGCTGGAATCACAGGCACATGCTACCATGCCTGGCTAATTTTTTGATTTCTTGTAGAGACAAGGTCTTGCCAAGTTGCCCAGGCTGGTCTTGAACCCCTGGGCGCAGACAATCCTCTTACCTCAGCCTCCCAAAGTGTTGGGATTCCAGGATTAAGCCACCATGCTTGGCCTGAAAAGAGCTGTTTTAATAATAGGTTATGGAAAGATTTGGGAGCTTAAATATTTATAAAATTATATTATACTATAGAAAGAGCACTGGATTAGGAGTCAGACAACATGGGTTAAAATTCTAGATCTGTAAATGCAAATGATTGTCCATGAACTTTCCACTTCACAGGGAAGATAAGAGGATCAAAATGAACTAATTAATTTTTGCTAATTTCATCAGAAACAGACTGACCTCTGTTTTGGCTAGAATCATGGAACATTTAACTTGTAATAATGCTTTGTAAGTGCATATTTCTTGGGGAAATAAATGGTGAGAACTCATTGTCATAAATTGCTGAGATCTGTCTTTTCAAGAGCACTTTTAGATCTGGATAATTAATTAATTCTTCGTCAAATAAATTTAATTTTTAGCATATGGAGCCCTGTTGAGAACTCACTTATCATTAAAATCTTTTCCCTTGTGTAGGCTTGTTTACAAATTGATCCTGCTGAGAGGATATCATCTAGTGAACTTCTGCATTATGAATATTTTACTAGAGATGGATTTATTGAAAAGTAAGCTTTTGAGTGAATGTGGATTTTTTAAGGATTTTGTATTAGAAGATTTTACTAGCAGGAGAATTGCTACACAGGTTCATGTTATGTAAGAGAAATACTTAGTTTAACAAAAATTTATTGAGTTTTTGTATCAGATGTTGACTAGATAAATGGAGACTTAGAGATGTATGGATGAAAAGTCTAATAATATAAAATAATTGCAGCTAGCATTGTAACATATACAGTTGCAATGTCATAGGCAGTGTGCTAAACTCTTTATATATTACAATTTCAATGTCCTCAGAGACTGGAGATAACATTAAATAAGCAATCAGTACTTCTTAGCTTCACTCTCATTGGGACCTCAGACTTGGAGAATAGTTTGGTTTTTCCTCTTTTGATAGCATATACTTATTGTAATTAGCACTTTCCAAATGATTTCTTTCTCTACTTATTCTCTGTTGCAGTGCCTATTGTCTTATCCTACCCACTACAATGAAAGTTCCCTGAAGATAGGGACTATGCTTCTTATAGCCCTTCTGTGTCCCACATTGCCAATGGCAAGCCCAGCATACATATTGACAATTTGGAGTCATTAATCAGCCATATTTCTACCAAAACACAGGCCAGGCTGGGCGCGGTGGCTCAAGCCTGTAATCCCAGCACTTTGGGAGGCTGAGGTGAGAAGATTACCTGAGCCCACAGGTTCGAGAACAGCCTGGGCAACATGGTGAGACTTCATCTCAACAATAAATAAAAAAATTAGCCAGGCGTGGTAGCACGTGCCTGTAGTTCCGGTTACTTGGAAGGCTGAGGCGGAAGGATTGCCTGAGCTCAACAGGTTGATCCTGGGGTGGCTGTGAGCTTGCCACTGCACTCCAGCCTGGGCGACAGAGTGAGACTCCAACTCAAACAAAACAAAACAAAACCCACAGGCCAGGCACAGTGACCCATGCCTGTGATCCTAGCACCTTGGGAGGCTGAGGCAGGAGGATCGCTCAAGGCCAGGATTTTGAGACCATCCAGAGCAACATAGTGAGACCTCGAATCTACAAAAAAAAAAAAAATTAGTCAAGTGTAGTGGCGTGCATCTGTGGTCCTTGCTACTTAGGAGGCTGAGGTGGAAGGATCACCTGAGCCCAGGAGGTCAAGGGTGCAGAGAGCTGGCCTGGGTGATGGGATGAGATTCTGACTCAAATAGACAAACAAACAAATAAATAAGCACATTTTAAATTCATTTTCTATTGGGTTTGAAAGATACAGGAAAAACTTCTCATTAATTGTAGAATCGTTCAGTTGGCCTTTGGGCATGAAATCAGAAAGATAGATATCAATTTAAAATGTGATGGAGTTAAGGTCAGGTATGGAAAAGTCCAGGCACTGCCACTGATGATAGACAAAATAGAAAAAGTCAAAGAGAAGAGAATTCATGGGAATAACTAGAACTTCAAGCATTTCAGTAATTTTACTCTAAACAAAAAATGTGATGATATATTTAAAATGTCATCAATGGAAAAGTATCTGTTAGTGAACAAAAAATTTGTTTCAGGGCACAGTAGCTCATGCCTATAATCCCAGCACTTTGGGAGGCCAAAGTGGGAGGATCACTTGAGGACAGGAGTTCGAGACCAGCCTGGGCAACATAGTGAGATATCCCGTCTCTACAAAATAAAAACAATTAGCTGGGTGTGGTGGGGCACATTTGTAGTCCCAAGTACTCAGGAGGCTTAGGTGAGAGGGTTGCTTGACATCAGGAGTTTGAGACTGCAGTGAGCTATGATCATGCCATTGGATTCCAGCCTGGGTGACAAAGTGAGACCCCACCCATCTTGCTTCACATCAGTGCTACATAGACTAAGTTGATTTCTCCTGGGCTTAGGATTTTACTATTGTGGAGTGAGTTCAAATTATAGAACCTTCAGAAAATGTTTGGGTAAGACTTTTTCCTTTGATAAGATGCCTCTTTCTTTCATGGACCTTCTGCAATGCAAGTGTGAGATTTTTCTCATTTAGGCAAACTAATCATACTGTTTCTTTCTTTCTTTCTTTTTTTTTTTTTTGAGTTGGAGTCTCACTCAGTCGCCCAGACTGGAGTGCAGTGGCCGCTCCTGGCCACCGCAGCCTCGACCTGCTGGGCTCTGGCGATCCTTCCGCCTCAGCCTTCTAAGTAACCAGAATTACAGGCGTGTGTTACCATGCCCAGCTGATTTTTTGATTTATTGTAGAGATGAGGTCTCGCCAAGTTGCCCAGACGGGTCTCGAACCTGTGGGCTCAGGCAATCCACTCACCTCAGCCTCCCAAAGGCGCGGGATTACAGGCTGAGCCAATGAGCCCGGCTCTGTTTCTTTATTGTTTTCATCTCCTCACACTACCTGCTGTTAGGCATGTGCCAGGCACAGCACTGGCAAGAATGGGCTGGACTAGGGAAGAACTTGTTCATGGACGGTTAACTTTCCCAGCTGATAGTGGTAGCTGCTTCCAAGAGAGGGAACTGTTCAGTTCAGTGAAGGGATGGGAGGAAACTTTACAGTATAACTTTTTGAACTTTGAACCATATGAATGGATTTTTACATTCAAAATTAATAACTTTTAAAAAGTAAGAAACCAAACTGAGACCAAAACAATCTCTCTCCAATATTGATATATTCTGTTATATTTTGTACTGTAAATATTTCTCTGGAGTAAGATTTCAGAAACGTTTGTTCATTTTTTAAGTCATATTATTTTAAAGAACTGCAAAAAGGACAAATGTATGAGAGCTGCTTCAAAATAATAGTATAATTATCACAATTAAAAGCAATACTTTTATTATTTATTTATTTATTTTTTGAGTTGGAGTCTCACTCCGTCGTCCAGGCTGGAATGCAGTGGCACGCTCACGGTCACCCCAGCGTCCACTTGCTGAGTTCTGGTGATCCTTCTGCTTCAGCCTTCCAAGTAGCCTGAACTACAGGCACTCACTACCACACCCAGCTAATTTTTGGTTTATAGAGACGAGGTCTTGCCAAGTTGCCCGGGCTGGTCTCGAACCCACAGAATCAGGCAATCCATTTGCCTCGGTCTCCCAAAGTGCTGGGATTACAGACTGAGCCACCGAGCCCTGATGCAATACTTTTATTGAGTAAAGTTTGCATCCCAAAGGGAATCTAATTTATATAAATCTATTTTGTGAAAGTTTCATATAATAGATTCCCATAGCAAAATTTTTGAAAGATGTTATCTTTACCAGAAAGCCATTTTCTTGGTTGTCATTTTGTTTTGCTTTATTGAGTCAGGGTCTCACTCTGTCACTGCTCGAGTGCATGGCACGATTGTGGTCTACCTCAGCCTTGACCTCCTGGACCCAGGAGACTCTTCGGCCTCAGCCTCTTGAGTAGCTGGTACTATAGGCATGTGCTGCCATGCCTGTTAATTTTTTTTACTTTTTGTGGAGACAAGGTCTCACTATGTTGCCTAGGCTGGTCTTCAGCTCATGGGTTCAAGCAATCTTCTTGCTAAAGCCTCCCAAAGTGCTGGGATTATACATGTGAGCCAATACACCAGACCAGAAAGCCATTTTTATTAGGTAAATATTGTGCCATGTCTTGGCATATATTATAATTATACAGCATTATTTATGCTGTGACTAAAATGTCAATTAATTGATTAAATGGTTCAATAAATCTAAAATATTCCATCTACAAAATAAAAGGATTTTGGCTAATATTATTTGTTTTATCAGATTCATACCAGAGCTGAGAGCTAAAGTACTACAAGAAGCAAGAGTCAATTCATTCATAAAGCCAAAAGAGAACTCTAAAGAAAATGAACTTTGGAAAGATGAAAGGAAAACAATTTATACCAATACGCTGCTAAGTAGTTCAGTTTGGGGAAAGGTAAGAACTTTGGTTTTTGTTTCATTCAGTATACCTATATTATAGTTAGACTCTAATGACTAAAATAACTGTTCTCATGACTCCGATTTTGGATGTGCCTATTCCAGGAAATGGAAAAAGAGAAGAGGCCCAAGGAAATCAAAGTCAGAGTTATTAAAATCAAAGAAGGAATAGGCGATATCTTTGAACCGAAAAAGATAGATTATAAAGGCAGACATTGTCAACAGGATGCAACTGAAAATGTTTATGCTAAGTCTCAGGATACAAAGACTTTAATCACTGAATCATCAAAACCTGTCAGTCCCAGCGTTAACTCTAATGGCATGAAAGAAGATCCACATTCTGGAAGTTGTATGACAATGCCACCCATCAATCTAACTAACAGTAATTTGATGGCAGCAAATCACAATTCAAATCTCTCTCACCCTAATCCAAGGTGAGATGTATTCAAAGAAGAGACCCAAGTAATTCAATGTTCCTGTATAACAGTTTTGCAAAGAATCGTGTTCATAACGTCTGTCTGTAAACTGAACTTGAAGATATATTGAAATTATGATTATATCCTGGGCCATTTACTGAGTGCTTCTTATGAATGCTATAGACGAGATTAACTTTTCTTGGCCATACAGCTGTTTAATTTTTCTTCAGTGTCTTGTGAAAACACCTCATTAAAAAAAAATCTACCTGTAATCCTAACACTTTGGAGGCTGAAGTGAGAGGATTGCCTGAGCCCACGGGTTCAAGATCAGCCTGGGCAACTTCGCGAGACCTTATCTCTACAATAAAAAAAAAATTAGCCGGGAGTGGTAGTGCATGCCTATAGTTCTGGCTGCTTGGAAGGCTGAGGTAAAAGGATCGCCAGAACCCAGCAGGTCAACACTAGGGTGGCTGTAAGTGTGCCATTGCACTCCAGCCTGGGCAACACAGTGAGACTCCAACTCTGAAAAAAAAAAAAATCTTTAGAAAAACTTTTTCCAAATCAGCCAGGCTTGGTAGCGCATGCCTGTAATTCCAGCTACTCAGAAGGCTGAGGCGGAAGGATCGCCGGAGTCCAGCAGGTTGAGGCTGCAGTGGCCGGGAGTGGCCACTGCACTCCAGTCTGGGCGACAGAGTGAGACTCCAACTCAAAAAAAAAAGAAAAACTTTTTCCTTTCTCAGAGAAAGAAGGTGACATGACCTAAATTTTGGTATCAATGTGCCTTGGTATAACAAAGTAATCTTTATTTCTATATCATAGCAAATACTCTATGTGGAGAAAGGATACTCAGAAATAATCTTTCACGGTCAAATAGCCTTTAAAGGTTAGGTATTTTGGGAGAAAAACAGCATATTGGGCCAGTTTTTGATTTAGCCTCTGATACAAATTGAGAGACTGGTCCCATGAGTCTGGTTAATTAAGAGCAGTGCGATGGATGGTGAGGGTCTGTCTAATAAGACTTCAGGGCCGCTTCTGAATTTAGGGAGACTACTGGATTTCTAGGTGAAGAAGGAGACTAAATTCCTTAGTCCAAGTAGATTCTAGCAGACTGATATGGCTATAGGTTGTAAAGCCTAACGGTCTGCAGAGGTGGGAAAGTGGACAAGTCTATGTCAGTCCAAAGGTACAGCATGCTACAGACTGCAATAGCTCAATTGTTCTTGAGGCAACCCGAAAACCATGGTACCAGTAACCATGGCTGTGAACCAGTCAATCTTGAACAGCAAGTTCATAAATTGAGAAACCCAGTAGTTAAGAGATCCAACTTGCCAGGCTCGGCGGCTCAGCCTGTAATCCCGTGCCTTTGGGAGGCTGAGGTGAGTGGATTGCCTGAGCCCGCAGGTTCGAGACCCGCCTGGGCAGCGAGACCTCATCTGTACAATAAATCAAAAAATCAGCCAGGCGTGGTAGCACGTGCCTGTAATTCCGGCTACTCGGAAGGTGGAGGCGGAAGGATCGCCGGCGCCCAGCAGGTCGAGGCTGCGGTGGCTGGAAGCGGCTACTGCACTCCAGTCTGGGCAATAGTGAGACTCCAACTCAAAAAAAAAAAAGAGATCCAACTTCAGAACAGATAGAGGGGAGTAAGCAGGCCAGCAGGCGTAATCCCACAAAATGTTTGTTGCCACTAGCCATGCGTTAGTTTTCTGCCCTGTTACCATCTTTCTCCCTGGAGCATTTGATACTTAAGGACTGACAATTGCATTTTGGCACTCAGTGTTCAAACGGCAGACTTCCGCGGTATAACTTGTTCATTCTTGAAGCTAAAACAAAGCCATTTCTGGGGAGTTCTAATAACTTCTCATTCATTTTTAAATAATAGGTTAATTGAAAGAACAAAAAAGAGACGTACTTCTTCACAATCTATTGGACAAGTTATATCTAATAGCAGGCAAGAGAATACAGAGCCCACTCAAGTAAGGCAAGAAGCTAGTCATTGGAATATGAGTTCTTTAGCATTACTCTCCTTTTCCTTTCTCTATCTTTGGGGTTCTAACACTTTTTAATATGTACTTTTGGGGTTTTTTTTCCTGAGATGAAAACAGTCCTTCAGTTCCTTACTGCTTTTACAATTTTCATTAAGTTCCTCCTCACTTCAGACATAGGAAAGCGATTGATTCAAAATTGAAGCACAATGTTATTTATAATAATAAAAAAATGAAAAACAACACAAACCTATCCAAGAGCAGATAACTGATTAAGTACATTAGGGTACATTCATACCCTAATGGGATACTGTGGGATACTTCACATTACATTATAGAAGAGTTCATTGACCTAGAAAAGTTTTTATGATCTATTGTCGAATAAACAAAAATAGGTAACACAAAAGGTTTTCCAGATACTAGATGCACAAGTAATTTTTTCATTTGGGTTTTCCCAGTGTTCATAAATAAGTTATAAAAAAAGTTATAAAAAAAATAAGTTGGTTCATGACCCGCCTGGGCAACTTGGCGAGATCTCATCCCTAAAATAAATAAAAAATTAGCCGGGCATGGTAGCGCGCGCCTGTAGTTCCAGCTACTTGAAAAGCTGAGATGAAAGGATTGCCGGAGCCCAGCACTCCAGTCTGGGCGACAGAGTGAGACTCCAACTAAAAAAAAAAAAACAAAACAAAAAGTTGAAGCATTTTGTTTAAAGTTGGTGCAACGAATAGTATTAAAAATTCAAAGTTAAAATTATGGTTTTCATAATCAAGAGTATTATTCTCAGAATATTAAACATGCTTTTAAAAGTTTGCTTTAAGCCGGGCTTGGTGGCTCAACCTGTAATCCGCGCCTTTGGGAGGCTGAGGTGAGTGGATTGCCTGAGCCCGCAGGTTCGAGACCCACCTGGGCAACTTGGCAAGACCTCATCTCTACAATAAATCAAAAATCAGCCGGGCGTGGTAGCGCGTACCTGTAGTTCCAGCTACTTGGAAGGCTGAGGCGGAAGGATCGCCGGAGCCCAGCAGGTTGAGGCTGCGGTGGCCGGGAGCGGCCACTGCACTCCAGTCTGGGTGACAGAGTGAAACTCCGACTCAAAAAAAAAAAAAAAAATTTACTTTATGAAACTTTTATTGGAGTTTGATCTATTGGTAAGTTTAATGGTACTCTATTCTACTTCTTAGTTATTAAAATAATTATTATGCCTATCTTATGCCATCCAAATGGCTAGCAGTTCTAGGCTTTTCATTCTACAAATAGACACATTTTTGAAAAACTAACTCTTGTTTGTTTGTTCATTTAGACCCAAATGGAGAAGGGTATATTTAGTGGGCAAGCAGGTCAAAGTGACCAAATGGCAAATGGAAACAAAAGGAAGCTGAATTTTTTGAGATCTGATAAAAAGGAATTCCATTTTCCAGAACTCCCTTTCACAAGACAGTCAAAGGATGTAAAAGGAAAGGAAGGTACAGGTTTCTTGCATAGCTTTACAAATCTCCAGAGATCATTTACAAGACTTTTTTTCTGATACAATTTTCATTTTATAGTGTGATAGAGGTAGAAAACAGTAAGCTAAGAAAAATATTTCCAGTTGGTGACATTTTCCTCCTGCATAGTCAAATAAGGGGTAAGACTTAAAAGAGATCGTTGTAAAGAAGGGTTAAGACAGCATTGAGGTGTAAATATTTCATTAGCACAATGTTGTTGAAATGTTAGAACAGTATTTGAGGAAGGTGGTTTTGTTCCAAATATGATTTGGAGTAAATCGCCTTCCTATGTTTCTTCATCATTGTTTGCCCATATAATAGCAGGAATTTTATGTGTGTTTTGGACATCCAAGGATTTAGTAAATAAGATTTTTTTTGAGACAGGTCTCACTGTGTCCCCCAGGCTGGAGTGCAATGGCATGATCCTAGCTCACTGCAGGCCCCACATCCTCGGCTCAAGTAATCCTTCAGCCTCAGTCTCCCAAGTAGCTGGTACTACAGGTGCGTGCCACCATGCCCAGCTAATTTTTTTGGTATTGTTTGTAGTGATGAGGTTTCAATATGTTGTCCTCTGCCTCCCAAAGTGCTGGGATTCAGGCATGAGCCACAATGCCAAGCATAGTAAATAAGATTTATAAATTTAAGATTTATTTAAAAATGAAACTCATTTTTGTCTTGAATAAATATCCTTATGTTTCTTTGAAGAATAGTGACACCTTGTGAGAAGTTAATATAATAGCAAGGCCGGGCTTGGTGGCTCAGCCTGTAATCCCGCTGAGGTGAGTGGATTGCCTGAGCCCGTCGGTTCGAGACCCGCCTGGGCAAATTGGCGAGACTTCATCTCTACAATAAATAAAAAATTTAGCCGGTTGTGGTAGTGCGAACCTGTAGTTCCAGCTACTTGGAAGGCTGAGGTGGAAGGATCGCCGGAGCCCAGCAGGTCGAGGCTGCGGTGGCTGGGAGTGGCCACTGCACTCCAGTCTGGGTGACAGAGTGAGACTCCAACTCAAAAAAAAAAAAAAAAAATATATATATATATATATATAGTAGCAAGAAAATAATGCACAGCACAAGAGGAATTATCTGATCTTAACAGTTATATTGAGAATAAAAAAATAAAATAAGCCAGGCTTGGTGGCTCAGCCTGTAATACCGCGCCTTTGGGAGGCTGAGGTGAGTGGATTGCCTGAGCCCGCGGGTTCGAGACCTGCCTGGGCAGGCGAGACCTCATCTCTATAATAAATCAAAAAATTAGCCGGGCGTGGTAGCGCGCGCCTGTAATTCCAGCTACTTGGAAGGCTGAGGCGGAAGGATCACCGAAGCCCAGCAGGTCGAGGCTTGCGGTGGCCGGGAGCAGCCACTGCACTCCAGTCTGGGCGACAGAGTGAGACTCCAACTCAAAAAATAATAATAAAATAAAATAAAATAGACTAGGCATGGTGGCTCATGTTTGTAATCCCAGTCCTTCGGGAGGCCAAGGCAGGAGGATTGCTTGAATCCAGGAGTTTGAAACCAGACTGGGCAGCATAGTGAGAACTCGTCTCCACAAAAAAGTTAAAAAAAAAATTAGCTGACTGTAATCCCAGCACTTTGGGCAGTGGAGGCAAGAGGATTACCTGAGCCCAGGGGTTCGAGACCAGCCTAGGGAACATGGTGAGATCTCATCTCTACAATTAAAAGAAAATCAGCTGGATGTGGTAGCGAACACCTGTAGTTCCAGCTACTTGGAAGGCTGAGGCAGAAGGATCACCTGAACCCAGCAGGTGGCTGAGGTAGAAAGATCTCCTGAGGAGGCTAAGGTTGCAGTGAGCTGTGGTTGTGCCACTGTACTCCAGCCTGGACAACAGAGTGAGACCCCAACTCAAATAAATAAATAAATAAATAAATTAATTAATTAATAAAAATCTTCTCTTAATATTTGGTAGACTATTTGTAAAGCTATAAGACAAATAATTTACCTTATTTTACCATCGCAACTGATTATCTATTTATTCATTTTGAGTTGGAGTCTCACTCTGTCGCCCAAGCTGGCATGCAGTAGCACGCTCACAGCCATCCCAGCGTTGATCTGCTTGGCTCAGGCGATCCTTCCACCTTAGCCTTCCTTTTAGCCAGAACTACAGGCACACACTACCACACCCGGCTAACTTTTTGATTTATTGTAGAGATGAGGTCTCGCCAAGTTGCCCAGGCTGTTCTCAAACCTGTGGACTCAGGCAATCCCCTCACCTCGACTTTCCAAAGTGCTGGGATTACTGGATTGAGCCTCCACACCCGGTCAACTCGTGATTTATTTTGTTCTTTTGTAATAAACTGAAAACTGACTTAGTGGACATCAGAATTTTCATTTGAAATTCTTGAAGAGGAAAGTCAAATTTCAAAGCAGTAATAACAAATTTTCATTGTTTTATATATTTTTGCAAAAGTTAAACAGATAAAAGCACTGAAGAGGGAGTTAAAGAAAACAGATTCATCTAAAATACCATTACTTAATGCGGATCAAAATCAAGACAAACAAGAGGTAAAACGTTTTTGTTTGTACCCTTTACTAAGGAATGTTGTTTGGATCCCTTGACACAGTGTATAAATTTAGTTATTACTACTGGAAAGCTATATAAAAATTCAAAATTATATAATCTTTGAATTCTAGAAACAGAGCTATATGTTCCTAGAATAACTAACTACTAAAAGTTTCTAAAGTTAATTTTTGGAGACTAATAAATACCTCATTTGAATGTGGGATGATTAAACTATATGGTATCCAGGGAAAATAGCATCTATGTTATGTCTATTGTCAAATGCCAGGCATGTAAGCCATGCCAGTGAAAAGAATAATGATATAAACATGTGGTTAACAGACACAAGTATATATGTGTTTGTCTTTGCCTCTTCCTTCCTTCTTTTTTTCTCCCCAATTTATTTCCCTGTCTGTCTCTGATGTCTACCTACTGTCCTATTTTCACAAATATTTGCTCTCAGCTAGCTATCAGGTAATCTTTTTGAAATGTCCCCAGCCCCAACCTGTTGTAGAACTGAACTGAGGTCCACTCGCCCAGTGTAGTAAAACCAGATATCTACACCGAGGTTTGTGTAATAGAAAGAAAAGTGTTTATTGCAGGGTACCAAGCAAGGAGGACCAGGAAGCTAAATGCTCAAAGCCTGACCTCCCCAGTGGTTTGCAGGTAAGGGTTTTACTGGCAGGGATTTTTTTTTTTAAACAATATTTTTTATTATGGTTTTGTGGGGTACAGTTAAGGGTTAGGTGTACAATTACGTTTCATTCAGGCACCCTGTTGATAAGAGGTATTTCCCCATCCCCAGACAGATATTTGCTACTGTTGATCCCATCCCCCCTCCCATAGTTTCCCAGTACTGTCAGTCATTTTCTTATACTATTACATTGGATATTCAAGGTCCATTATATGAGTGAGTACATGTGATACTCGGATCTTTGTTTCTGTGAGAGGTCACTCAGTATTATAGACTCTAGTTCCATCCAGGTTGCTGCGAAATTCATGATTTTGTTCTTTTTTATGGCTGCGTAGTATTCCATCGTGTATATGTACCACATTTTTAAAATCCAGTCCTCTTTTGATGGGCAGCATGGTTGTTTCCAGGTTCTTGCTATTGTGAACAATGCTGCGATAAACATACGTGTGCAGGTATCTTTTTTATAGAGTGATTTGAGTTCTTCAGGGTATATTCCCAGTAGGGAGAGTGTGGGGTCATATGGGAGGTTGATATTTAGAGCTTTTAGGAATCGCCACAGTGCTTTCCACAGAGGTTGCTGGCAGGGATTTTTAAAGGCAGGGTAAATTTCAGGAAAGCAGACACAAAATCACAAATCAATACTTGGGGATTATACGTGATCTGACAATTAAGTTTGCGAACTCATCCTAGGCAAAGTGCTTATATATCTCATTGCTGATTATCACTATGGTCACCTTTAAAGTACTCCCCTTGGGAAGCTATGCACCAATGCCAGCACCTAGTATACCTGTCAAAGCAATTTTGGAACTCTTTCTGGAATAGCCATCAGAGCTATCGTCGTATTACCCCTGATGTCCTGAATGTCATCAAATGTCTTCCTTTCAATAGTCTTTTTAACCTTTGGGTAAAGAAAAAAGTCATTGGGTCCAGATCAGGTGAGTAGGGAGAGTGTTACAATACAGTTATCGGTTTACTGGCTAAAACCTTCCTCACAGACAATGCTTGTGTGAGCTGGTGGTGCATTGTCATAATGCAAGCATTCCTTTGGGACCATTTTCACACACACCTTTCTCATGCCAAGATTTTCAGTTAAGATTTTTTTAACTGTTTCTCTGTTGATGTTTATTTGGTCTCTTATGGTTTTCACAGTCAGCCAATGATTCTGACGCACAATTTGATGAATGTTTGTCATGTTTTTGTCAGTTTTTCATCAGAGACACTTTCTCTCCCCTCAGAAAAACATTTAATCTATTTGTACGCTGTCGTTTTCTTCATGACATTATCTCCATAAACTTCGACTAACATGTCCCTGATTTCACTTCCACTCTTGCCAAGTTTAATAAGAAATGTAATGTTTGTTTGTTGCTCTAATTCAACCTACAACATTCTTGCGACGGCACACAAAAACATGCAACAATAACACTGAATGCCACTCAGCAAGACAATGCCACACGTCAACACGAACACAGCCGTGAGGACTGATGTACCTTGGTAGGTTGTGAACCCTTACTGAGTTGTTGGTGCACCGTGGCAAGTTTGTGAACTTAATTGTTAGACATCGTACATTGGTTTAGATTTAAAAGGGTGGGATGTCTTCAAGCAGTAGCTTACAGGTTGTAGGCAGATGGACAGATTCTCTGAATTGCAATTGGTTAAAGAAGAGAAGTTTTGTTTAAAAATTTAGGGTCAGTAGAAAAATGACTTTCTCAAGCCGGGTTCGGTGGCTCAGCCTGTAATCCCGTGCCTTGGGAGGCTGAGGTGAGTGGATTGCCTGAGCCCGCGAGTTCGAGACCCACCTGGGCAACTTGGCGAGACCTCATCTCTACAATAAATCAAAAAATTAGCCGGGCATGGTAGCACGCGCCTGTAGTTCCAGCTACTTGGAAGGCTGAGGTGAAAGGATCGCCGGAACCCAGGAGGTCGAGGCTGCGGTGGCCGGAGGCGGCCACTGCACTCCTTCTGGGTGACAGAGTGAGACTCCAACTCAAAAAAAAAAAGAAAAGAAAAATGACTTTCTCCAAGCCCTCAAGAAGAAAATTTAGGCCAAAGGATGGTGGTTACAGTGCAGTCTTCATTCCTCCCTTTTCTGAGGTCTACCTGCCAGCCCCTTTCAGTGGGGTTCCTTCCTGGGGGTCTGAGTTTCTGAAAGACAACTCAGGGACATAGGTTAAAACGTAATCCTTAGTTTCTATGGGGAAAGAAAACACCCTCAGAGCTCCAATTTCCTTGGCTATTGTTTTAGACTACGATTACCTTCTTGTTTAACAAATTATTTACTTCTGGGGCTAGCTAGGTGCCTGGAATTTCTCTTGAAGAAACTTTAGGATTTTCCTTTGTTTCTGTACTTGGAATGTGCAGACCTCTAAAAATGGGGTCTCTGGTCTGTCTCATCCCCACCAAAGAAATTCTTGACTTTTGTTTGGAAATCTTGAAAACTGTATCATTGGAATGAGTACTCTCTAAAACAGGCATGTTCAACCTGTTGCCCTTGGACTGCATGCAGCCTAGGACAGCTAGTAATACAGTCTCACAAAATCTTTTTTTTTTGAGTCAGAGACTCACTCTGTTGCCCAGGAGGAAGTGCAGTGGCATACTCATAGCTACTGCACCCTCAGCCTGCTGGGCTCAGGCAATCCTTCTGCCTCAGCCTTCCAAGTAGCTGGAAGCACAGGCGTGCGGCTCCATGCCCGGTTAATTTTTTGATTAATGTAGAGACAAGGTCTTGCCAAGTTGCCTAGTCTGGGCTCGAACTCCTGGATTCAGGCAATCCTCTTGCCTCCACTTCCCAAAGTGCTGGGATTACAGGCATGAACTACTGTGCCTGGCAAAATCTTTTAACACCATGTTTTTTTTTTTTAGTGTTTCTTTGTGACCCCATACGTAGTTCCGTTTTTGGAGTTCACAATCATACCTTACAACATTGCATCTTGGCAGCACATACACTTGTGGACAGCTGTTTTCAGTTATGAAGCACCTGAAAAGTAAAATTTGAACAAATATTTCTGATGAGCACCTTGAGAACTCACTAAGAATACAGCCACTTCCTTTGAACCAGACATTGCTAGATTAGTTTTTAAAAACAAGGTCAGATTTCCCACTGGTTTTATATTATTTTCATTTTTCTAAACTTTATAATAAAAAATATTTAAAAAGAAGTCTTATTATATCTATATATACTAATTATATTATATAATTTACGTGCGGCCTGACAATTTCTTTTTACTTAACGCAGCCCAGGGAAGCCAAAGTGTTACTTGATGTGGCTCAGGGAAGCCAAAAGTTTGGACACACCTGCTCTAAAGGCATTCTTTAAAGGGAAAAGATTGTGCTGAGCACTCACTGAATTAAATTATCTGGGTGGCCTCCCATTCTGTACTTGTGAGGTCATCTCTGTTTGTGATTTATTAGCTTCATTATCTCTATTTTTGTTAAATAAAATTATTACAGTTTTATTCATGATAAAATTAGAACATACTTATTAAGAAAATTTAAAAACTAAAAACATAGAAAAATGGATCTGAACTGGGGGTGGTGGTTTACACCTGTAATCCCAGCACTTTGGGAGGCAGAGGCAAGACAATTATCTGAGTTCAGGGGTTTGAGACCATTCTGAGTAATATGGCGAGACCTCACTTCTACAATAAATAAAAAAACCCAACCGGGCGTGGTGGCGCATGCCTGTGGTTCCAACTACTTGGAAGGCTGAGGTGAAAGGATTGCCTGCGCCCAGCAGGTGGAGGCTGCGGTCGCCATGAGTGTGCCACTGCACTCCAGCCTGGACGACAGAGACTCTGACTCAAAAAAAGAAAAAAGAAAAATGGATCTGAAATTATATAAGAGGGCATTTTAACAAGGTTACTCAGTCTCTACAATTGGGTAAGACGATTGGTTATCAGAAACCATTAGATGTAGTCTCATTATTACATTTAAGGTTATACCTTAGTCTTGGCCTAGAACTCCACAATCCACTCTGCAGAAACAAATTGCACCAACAAATTGTAGAACAATAACACAAAAAGTCATTAATGGTTATTATTTAGTTCATTATAAAATGTAATGAGGGTGGCTTTAAACTTTTAAATTTGGGCGACTTACTCATGTCACAGCATGTTGCACAGCACACCATTGGCACATTTTTTGAATGATTGGGTGAGTTGAGGCTCCTGAGTTTGGCCAGACTATTAATGTGCTTTGTGTGTTTATCCCAGGAACTAAAATCACATTCCAAAGAAGGAAAAAAAAGAACTGTTAAGTTCTGTAATTTTTAGGGTGAGTAAATAAATAAGAAGAGAAAACCTCTTTTTGCTCATATGAGGTAGGACTCCAAGGTTTATAGCAGCCTTGAAACAAGTTGTAGTTATTGGAAATAACCAGAATTCATCAGTACTCATTGTAGTTAATTTGTAGTGCTTATTCACATGCAGTTCTGACAAGTGACTGAAATTGTATATAAGGCAATCCAAATAAAGCTTTTAATAAATGTCAGAATTAAGAACATTTCTTGGCTGGGTGCAGTGGCTCACACCTACAATCCTTGGGAGAACAAGGCAGGAGGATTACTTTGAAGGCAGGAGTTCAAGATCAGCCTTGGCAGTGTAGTGAAACTACCATCTGTCAAAAAAAATTTTTTTTTAATTAGCCAGGTCTGGTGATGCATGCCTATAGTGCCAGCTACATGGGAGGGAGGCTAAGGCAGGAGAATACTGTGAGTCCAGGAGTTCAAGGCTTCAGTGAGGTATGATGGTGTCACTGTACTCTAGTCTGGGCAAAGAGCAAGACACTGTCTCTAAAAAATAACTTTAAATAAGTAAATTTTTTTTAAGAGAAAATGTCTTATATTTTGAGTCTGTAGTTTATTTTAGAGCCAGAGAGAACATGACATGTTTTTAAAAACATAAGATAGGGAATAGCCATTTATTTGTTCTATTTTTGGCTCTGGCATTTACTTGTTTTTTGAATTATCCAGTCAGATCCAAGCACTGCTCAGTTTTACATTAAATTCTTTCAGGCATCTTAAACATATATTGAAAGTACATACAAGCATTGAATAGGCTCTAAGGCCAGAGAGAAATCCTAACTTACTGTGGGTGAGTGATTTAGGCAAGAGAGAGAAGAGTCTATACAAAGGCCGCCTTTAGTTCTGCTTGATGATACTGAGGAATACTCTGCTAAATTGTCTCTCTGTATCTTACGAAACTACCACTGGGGCAAAGTACAGTTTTTATCTCTGGCAGGATTTCCTTAGCCAAAGACACCATTTCCTCAATTAGGGTCTTGTTTCCATTCACTTTTTAGAATACATGAAATGCACAAACTGAAAGGAAGAACCTGCTAGATGTAGAGTAGAAAATGCAGCAGCTGAAGATTCAGGGAATCCCAGAATCACTATATGGTCAAAATAAGAATCTTATTAATGCCACACGCATAAAATGCCTACTAGAGAATTCTACAGGTACATCAGAGTTCTTCAGAGGGACAGAACCACTAGGATATATGTATATACAAAAAGGAATTTATTAGGGAAGATTGACTCAAATAATTACATGGTGAAGTCTCATGATGAACCAACCATCTGTAAGCTGGGTATGAAAAAAACTGGAGCCGGATTCGGTGGCTCATCCTGTAATCCCGTGCCTTGGGAGGCTGAGGTGAGTGAATTGCCTGAGCCCGCGGGTTCGAGACCCGCCTGGGCAACTTGGCGAGACCTCATCTCCACAATAAATCAAAAATTAGCCGGGCGTGATAGCGTACGCCTGTAGTTCCAGCTACTTGGAAGGCTGAGGTGGAAGGGTTGCCGGAGCCCAGCGGGTCAAGGCTGCCGTGGCCGGGAGTATGCCACTGCACTCCAGTCTGGGTGACAGAGTGAGACTCCAACTCAAAAAAAAAAAAAAAAAAAGAAAAAAACTGGTAGTATGGCTCAGTCCAGGTCTGAAAGCCTCAAAACCAGGAAAGCCAATGCTGTAGCCCTCTGTCTGAGGCTAAAGGTCTGAGAGACCCTGGAAAGCTGCTAATGAGGTTCCAGAGTTCAATGGTTGAAGAAGCTGAAGTCTAATATCCAAGGGTAGAGGGAGAGGAAGCAAATTGTCCCACTGGAATGGGAGAAGAAAGAGCAGAAGGAAGCTCAGCAAATGACTTTTCCTCCTCCTTCCATCTGTTCTTTGTAGCTCTGCTGGCAGCAGATTGGATGGTGTCCACCCACGTTGAGGGCCGGTCTCTTCCAGTCTACTGACTCACATGTTAGTCTTCTCTGGGAACACCCCCACAGACACACCCAGACACAGTGCTTCACCAGCCATCTAGCCATCCCCTGATCTAGTCGAGTTGACACCTAAGATTAACCATCACACCTGTGTAGTTATGTGTATATTCTCCTAAATTTGTTTTAAAATTTATTAATCTTTAAATGAGTCATGTTTTTTAATTTTAATTTTATTTATTTAATTTTATTTTTTTACTAGTAACTATTCATGTTTTTAAAAATTTGAACATTAGCTGGGCTCGGTGGCTCAGCCTGTAATCCTGCGCCTTTGGGAGGCTGAGGTGAGTGGATTGCCTGAGTCCGCAGGTTCGAGACCCGCCTGGGCAACTTGGCGAGACCTCATCTCTACCATAAATCAAAAAAATTAGCCGGGTGTGGTAGTGCGCGCCTGTAGTTCCAGCTACTTGGAAGGCTGAGGCGGAAGGATCGCTGGAGCCCAGCAGGTCACTGGGAGCTGGCCACTGCACTCCAGCCTGGGTGACAGAGTGAGACTCCAACTCAAAACCAAAAACCAAAAACCAAAAAACAAACAAACAAACAAAAAAACAAAAAAACTTGAACATTAACTTATAAAAACTGCCTGACTGGTACATCCTAATAACACTGCAGCTTACATTTAGTCAAGTAATTTTATTTGATCATCTATTATTTTAATCATTGATTAGTGATCATTCTTAGCCTTGTTTCAGAACTTTATGATTACAGAAGGAAAGGTTTTAAAATATATAATAAAGTAAGATCCCAATATTTTGGAGTACCAAACATTTCCAAGCAAACAAATATACTTGATAAGCATGAAACATGAATTTGGTGCCACACTGAACATTCTGGAGCAATGTTTAAACATATCATGAAGATTATTTAAAAGGATGGAAATTGAGCAAGGCATTGAAGCAAATCTTTTGACCTGGCCAGCATTTTTTATCATTTAGTAGTTTATATATAATTTAACATTAGTATATAGTGCATTCCGGTGAGTCTGGGTGGGGTGAGTGTATTGCTCTGTGAGTTCTTTGACTTTGCCACAGGAAAGCATTTCAGAGCAAGTCCCAAGTATGGTTTTAAGACCTAATTTATTAGAATGAAGGAAGCATACTCAAGAGCGAGCATGGGTTTCTTAAAAGAGGGCACATACTTGCCTTTGACAAGAAGCTTTAAATTCTTTTACAATCATGATTAAAGGAAACCAAGAGCTGAGAGCGGTGGGTTGCAGGTGTCTGGTCTTGAGTTTTTTGGTTTTTTTGAGTAGGAGTCTCACTCTGTCACCCAGTCTGGAGTGCAGTGGCACGTCACGGCCACCGCAGCCTCAAGCGATCCTTCTGCCTCAGCCTTCCAAGTAGCTGGAACCACAGGTGTGTGCCACAGTACCCAGTTCATTTTTTAATTTACTGCAGAGACGCGATCTCACCAAGTTGCCCATGCTGGTCTCGAACCCCTGGAGTCAGACAATCATCTTGCCTCCACCTCCCAAAGTGCTGGGATTACAGGCATGAGCTACTGTTCCTGACTGGTCTTGAGGTTTTTGTTTTTGTTTTTTTGAGTCGGTGTCTCACTCTGTTGCCAATGCAGCCTCGATCTGATGGGCTCAGGCGATCCTCCCTCCTCAGCCTTCCAAGTAGCTGAAACTACAGGTGTGTGCTACCATGCCAGCTAATTTTTTGATTAATTGTAGAGATGAGGTCTCACCAAGTTGCCCAGGTTAGTCTCGAACCCGTGGGCTCAGGCAATCCTCTTGCCTCTGCCTCCCAAAGTGCTGGTGTTATAAGTGTGACCCAAAACTCAATTCCCGGTCTTGAGTTTTGATTACCATCTCCCAACCTTCTAAGTTCACAAGAACCTTCTAAATAATTAAAGTTATTGCCTAACTAGATTTGGGCTTTTCTTAAGACATTGTTCTGTGTTTTGGGTAATTTCCTATTGTTTCTGTGATTTTCTGCATTGGAAGATCCGCATTTCAGCCTGCAAGGTGGTCAGGTCTGGTGTGCCTGACTGGTGGGGCAGAGGTCATGTACCAATAAGACAGATGTCTGACCGCTTGCCCTATTTAATTTAAACTGCCTGCAAGAAACTTATCTATCTATGTCTAATCTGCACTGAATAACCTGCCTCAAAGGTTTTGGCAGCACGTATTTGCATTCTTACCCCTAGTTCTTACTAACCCGTTTTCTAATTTTAGGGAGCAAATGGCCGTGAGGGGAAGAATTTGAAGAGGAACAGATTTTTTTTCTGGTAATGTCTTTTCTTTTCAATAATCTCAAGAATACAAACTGACAACTCTTCCTTTTTTATTTTATATACAATAGAAATGTAATGTGAGTTGTTAAAACAGCCACCTGTCTGCATTAGCATCCTCCAACTTTGTTTTGTTGTTAGCAAAATATTTACTGTTTACTTCTCTCTTTCTTCTATGATTTTTTTGAATTAGAGTCTCACTCTCACTCATGGCTCACCACAGCCTTGACCTCCCGAGCTCAGGAGATCCTTCTGCCTCAGCCTCCCGAGTAGCCAGAACTATAGGCGCACACCACCCCACTCTATTTTTTGATTTTTGTAGACGAGGACAAGGGTCTTGCTATGTTGCCCTTGTAGGTAGGTGGTCTTGAACTCCTGGGCTCAATCAGTTCTCCTGCCTTGACCTCTCTTACAGTGTGTGCCACCGTGTCTGGCAGACCTTTGCCTTCTCTCATAGTCGCATTACCTCAAGTCAATTATCTCCTAGAATACCCCAGCTTCCTAAAATGAGTTCTTGATGAAATACCTGACCCATTGTTTCAAAAATTATTAATTACTATCACATTCATTAAAAATATGTTCTGTTGGTCAGCAATGAAAGCATTTATAATATTTATTAAATATCTAAAAATGATATGGAATCCAGTTGTTAATTAAAATTTTAATCTATGATCCAAAAGACCAAGACAGACACCCCTTTATCAACTAAGATGGACCCTAAGGTTAAGGGCTCACCTGGCATGACAACTTTCTGAATTCCTAAGATTACAAGAAAATCTACACTCTTGCCGAACTCCTTAACAATAAGAGCTATCAGGCAAATTCCTAACTCCGATTTACAATCCAGAGCACTACAACTCTGATTGGACATAGGACAGGGCTACATTATTTTCTGATAAGCAGCTGCAGATCTGAAGCCAGTTTTGGCCACCATATAGAGACTGAACATAAGCTATCTTTGTGTTCTATAGTTACCTTTTTATAAAGAGCCAAATTCCACCTCATTAATGCTAAAACCCCATCACAAAGTGAACATGGGATATATGTTACATATGTATTTGCCCATTGTGCATGCACTGGACTCCCCTCATAAATATGTGTTGCTTTTCCCCAAAACCTACTGAATGTGTATGATATTGTGTAATACAGGCCCAGTGAGGCATAAAACCCAGCCTACCCTCTCCCTCTTCAAAGAGAGCACCTTCACTTCACACTGAGACTGTCTCTTCCCAGTTTGCAAACTGACATCCTCAATAAAGTTCTCCTTTCTAGTATTTAGCCATGCTGGTGGTCTTTTGGACAATATATCCTTTTAAACAATGGTCAGCACTCTTTCAGTGTCCTGTGTTCTGATAGTGCCTTTATGTGGTACAGACTTTTTCTAGTTTATAAAATAAATAATGTACAATCCAGAAAGGGTATACTACTAAAATTATGGATTTTCTAATTCTTCAAAAAAATAATAAAATTGGATTGAATCTTCCTCCTCCCCCTTAGGATTTTCTACATAGACAATCATGACATTTGCAGATGGAAACAGTTGTGTGTCTTCCTTTTCAAGTGTTTGTGCCTTTTGTTACTTCTTCTTGCCTTATTGTACTGGCAAGGATGTGTGATACAATGTTCAGCAGAATTACAGAAGTAGTGAGAGTGAACATTCTTGCTTTTTCTTCTATGACAGAGGGAAGAATTCAGTTCTTTTTCACTAAGTAGAATGTTAGTTGTAGGTTTTATGTGGATGACCTTTATTAGAGGGAGGAATGTTCGTTCCATTCCTGTTTGCTGAGGGTCCTTACCATGAATGGGTGTTGAATTTTGTTACTTGTTTTTTCTGCACTAACTGAGATGTTATGATTTTCCTCCTTTATTCTGCCAATGTGAATTAAATGAATTGAGATGGAGTGATGGAATGTTAAACCAACTCTGCATTCCTAGGATTAGACTCTACTTGATTCTTTTTATGTTATTGGATTCAACTGTTTAATATTTTATTAATGATTTTGACATCTATGTTACTGGAGAATTTCAGTCTGTGTGTGTGTGTGTGTGTGTGTGTGTGTGTGTGTGTGTGTGTGT